GGAAATTGTAGTTTACTACTATGCATACAACTTCACAACCAATTTTAGCAACCCATTTCGTTGCACATAATGGCCACCCACCATAGAAAATAAGTTCTAAGAAACAAATATGGGGGAGTTGGGGTTGTGGTCATTTGGGATGGGGGATGTGGAAGAAACTTTTTCAAAATACAACATAACAGAAGAGGCAGAAGGGGAGAACATACTTGTTGTTTTTGTGAGAGAAAGAAGACTTGGGAAGAGAGGGAGTAACATGGAGAGAGAGACAGAGTGAGAAATAACGGGGGGGAGAGAGAGAGAGTAGCATGTGAGAGAGAGAGGGAGGTTTTAGGGGTTAGAATTATTTTCAATTAGAGGGGGAATGGGTATGGGTAATAGGAGATGTGTTAAGGGGTGGGTCAGGTTTTATGGTAGTGGGTTATTTGAAACTATAAAACAAAAAAGGAGAAACAAAATTAATTACTTACCTGCCACCCCCAGCCCAGTGCGTCGCGCTAGGCCTGGCACTAGGGGGATTTTTTCAGACTGTTTTATGCGCCACAGGTAGCGCTGGACGCTGGCATGGGCGCTGCTTTTATATATATATATATATATATATATATATATATATATATATATATTGAATAAAACCCTGATTCCTCCGAGCACTTAATATATCCATTTTACACATCCCACATCATTCTACCTATGATTTCTTTGACTACAAAGAAAACAAGAAAAACTCTAATCTACTCTAACTAAAAAGAAAAAAAACTAAACTATGAAAGCAATAAACATTGGGTTGCCTCCCAACAAGCTTCTGATTATCGTCACGGCATGACACATGGCCTCGCTTACTCATCAACGAGTATTACTTTAAACTTCTAACTATCAATGACACATCCCTAATAGTGCTTGACTCTTTTCCCATTCACCAAAAAAATTCTTTCACTGTTTAAAGCACTCAGCTCAATAGCACCATAAGGAGTGACTCTCACCATCGTAAATAGACCTGAGCACCACGATTTTAACTTTCCAGGAAATAGCTTAAGCCTAGAATTGAACAATAGTACCTTTTGGCCCGGTTCAAAATGTCGCGGCTTGATACGCTTATCATGCCATCTTTTTGTTTTCTGTTTGTAAAGCTTAGCATTTTCATAGGAGTGCAGCCTTAACTCATCTAACTAATTCAACTGCAAGTGACTTTTCTCGCCTGTGCCTTTAAAGTCCATATTCAACTTCTTAACTGCCCAATACGGCTTATGTTCAAGTTCAACCGGTAAGTTACATGCCTTCCCATAAACAAGCTTATACGGGGATGCCCCAATTGCTGTTTTGTATGCAGTTCTATGTGTCCACAAGGCATCATCTAGCTTTGCAACCCAATCTTTCCTGTTCACACTCACTGTCTTCTCTAATATCTGCTTTATTTCTCTGTTTGACACTTCAACTTGTCCACTTGTTTGCGGATGATATGCCGTGGAAACTCTATGGCGGACTCCATATTTTGCTAGAAGGTTATTCAACAACCGATTGTAGAACACTAATCAAGTCACGTGGAGTCCCAAATCTCGAGAATATGTTTTTCTTCACAAAAGTGGCTACCACTATGGCATCATTGGTTGGCAATGCGACTGCCTCTACCCATTTTGACACGTAATCAACAACTTGCAAGATGTATTTGTTTCTTCTAGATAATGGGAATGATACCATGAAGTCTATCCCCCACACATAAAAAATCTCTACCTCCAGGATATTATTCAAAGGCATATCATGCCTCTTCGTGATTGTTCCTGTTCTCTGACACTGGTCACACTTCTTAACAAATGCATGTGCATCCTTGAACAATGTTGGACAATAGAACCCAGACTGTAACACCTTTGCATATGTCCTATCGCCTCCATGATGCCCCCCATAAGGCAAGGCGTGGCAATCATACAACACTAATTCCACCTCCTTTTTAGGAATGCATCTCCTCATCAACTGATTAGCACATTGTCTGTACAAGAATGACTCATCCCAGTAGTAGAGGTTCACATCATGAAGAAACCTCTTCCTAGCCTCAGATTGAATTTTAGGAGGAAGTACCCCACTCATAATATAATTCACATTGTTCGCGTACTATAGGGCGGGGTCATGGGTGATGGCAAAAGGTTGCTCATCAGGAAATGTCTCCTTAATTTGTCCGCATTCTTCCGCGTGCTCATGATTTTCTAGCCTTGACAGATGGTCAGGCACTTGGTTTTTTGTGCCCTTCCGATCTCATATTTCTACAACAAATTCCTGCAACTATAAAACCCAGCGCATTAATCTAGCATTGGATTCTTTTTTTGTAAATAGATACCTGATCGCTGCATGATCGGTATAAACTATAACTTTTGTTCCCACCAAGCAAGCCCGAAATTTCTCAAAGGCCCACACAACTGCCAAAAACTCCTTTTCAGTGGTGGTGTAATTTAGTTGTGCATCATCAAGAGTCTTACTCACATTGTATATGGAGTAAAGCATCTTGTCTTTCCTCTAGCCTAGCACTGCCTCCATAGCATGGTCACTTGCATCGCACATTAGTTCAAATGGTAAGGACAAATCCGGTGCCACAATAATGGGGGCACCCACCAACTTCTCTTTGAGCTCCTCGAATTCCTTCAGGCAGGCTTCATCAAATTTGAAAGTCACATCCTTTTCAAGCAACCTGCACAATAGAGTAGCAATTTTTGAAAAATCTTTAATAAAGCGTCTATAGAAACTCGCGTGTCCGAAGAAACTCCGGACACCCTTCATAGATATTGGTGGAGGTAATTTTACAACCACCGCCACTTACGCCTTATCAACTTCAATGCCACTCTTCGATACCCTATGTCCACACGATGCCCTTTTGCACCATAAAATGGCACTTTTCCCAATTTAATACCAAATTTGTTTCTTCACAACATGCCAACACCTTGCCCAAATTCTTCAAACAGTCATCATAAGAAGACCCAAAGACTGAAAAATTATCCATGAAGACTTCTACAAATTTTTCCACCATATCAGTGAAAATGGACATCATGCACCTCTAGAAAGTAGCTGGTGCATTACAAAGACCAAATGTCATTTGCTTGAAAGCAAAAGTACCATAAGGGCACATGAAAGTTGTTTTCTCCTGATCCTCTGGGCATACGACAATCTTGTTGTACCCCGAATAACCATCAATGAAGTAATAATATTCATGCCCAATCAAGCTGTCCAACATTTGGTCAATGAATGGAAGTGGGAAGTGGTCCTTGCGGGTTGCTTTGTTGAGCCTTCTATAGTCAATGCAAACTCTCCACTATGTCACAGTGCGAGTAGTAATTAGCTCATTTTTCTCATTCTCTACAACAGTCATCCCCCCTTTTTAAGCACACATTGCACTAGGCTCACCCAGTTGCTTTCAGAAATAGGAAAGATGATACCTGCATCAAGCCACTTAATTACTTCCTTCTTCACAACCTCCTTTATAATAGGATTTAAGCTCCTTTGTTGCTCAACACTGGCGTTGTGGCCATATTCCAGAAAAAATTTTATGCATGCAAAATAATGTACTGATTCCCTTGATATCAGTATTTATCCACCCAATAACCTTTTTATGCTCATGAAGCACTCTTAGCAGCTTTTCTTCTTGCACATTTGCCAAGCTAGATGAGATAATCACGGGCAACGTTTCAGAATTCCCCAAGTAGGCATAGCACAGGTGCGCTGGAAGAGGCTTGAGCTTTAGCTTTGGAGCTTCTTCAACAAATGGTTTAGGGGATTCAGAGTAACAGGTCTGTCCAACTCCTTAAATCTCCCAAGCCATGGACATACTTGCAAGAATGTTGAGGACTTGCTAAATTTCTTCCATCATCTCATCTTCACTTTCTTATTCATCCCCCATAAAAACTCTTTCAAGTGGATCTATGGGGCTCATATAGGGTACCAATGAAGTCACATCACTTTTCACCATAGATATCATAGATAACTCTTCATAGTGGGTAGGCAATCTGAGTGCTTTTTACACATTGAATACCTCCACTCGATCACCCACTCTCATTATCATCTTTCCTTCATATACATCAATAATAGCTCATCCTGTGGCTATGAATGGATGCCCAAAAATAAATGGGACTTCCTGATCAGGCTCATAGTCCAAGATAATGAAATCAGCAAGGAATATGAAAGAACCCACTTAAACTAACACATCTTCAATCACCCTTTTAGGATGAGCAAGGGAGCGATCAACCAACTGTAAAATCATCGTAGTTGGGTGTGGCTCACCCAACCCCAACTGTTTGAAAACAGATAGGGGCATCAAATTGATGCTCGCCCTAAGATCATACAAAGCTCGCCCGACTATGTGCTTAACAATTGGAGATTTGGATAGTGAAACTACTTGGATCCTTCAATTTCTGAGGTAGCTTGCTTTTAATTCTTGAGCTACATTCTTCAGTGAGTGCCACAGTCACGAACCCGGCCAACCTCCTCTTATTTTTCACTATGTCTTTGATATATTTGGCATATTTGGGCACTTATTGCGGGATGTTTACCAACGGAATATTAATTTTCACGTGCTTTAAAATATTAAGAAATGTCTTATAAGCATCATTATCCTTCACTTTCTGCAATCTATGAGGGAACAGAGGTGGTGGCCTTGCAACTAGTGGTTGGGGTTGCTTTGCCACCACCTCTTCAACTGGCTTCTCTGACTCCCTTGCTTTTTCTGATTCTGCTTCTATGGTGGCATGTTTCTCATTAAAGGTCACTTGCTTTCTCTTTTGCGATGGGACTTCTTCTAACTGTGTCCCATTCCTCAATGACATAGCACTAATGGATGCCTTAGGATTAGCCTCAATTTCTCTTAAAAGAGCTCCAATTGGTCGAGTATTTTGGGCACTAGCCATTTGTCGCTCTAAATTTCTCATAACTGCTACTTGGGCCTGCTGGTCAGTCATCAATTTCATTAGCATCTCCTCAATGTGACTCATCGAGTTTGTAGGTTGCTCGACCTATGGTGATCTATATTGCTATTGCGGAGCTTGTGGCCTGTACTGATTCCACGCACTTTGGTTTCCACCCCAAGAGAAGTTTGGGTTGTTCCTCCAATTAGGATTGTAAGTGTTCCCATACTGGTTTGTCTGGCCCCTATTTGCATTACCCATGAAAAATACAGATTCTGGATTATCTGGGCATAAATCGCTCATGTGACCATCTCCACATACATCACAAAATATTTGAACCTGTTGCATTGACTGAGCTTGTTTCTTGTTAATAACCAAGGTCATCTTATTGTCTTGGTTGGATAATGTGGCAACTTGTGTTGATAATGTAGAAAATACATCTAACTCGAGGACCCCCAGATATTTTTGAACTGTGTGTCTGCCCATCTCTCTTTTCCAATCAGGATTACTTTTGGAGAATTTATTCAATAATGCATACATTTCATCAAAGTTTTTCTCCAACACTTGACCTCCCGCGACAGCGTCCACCACAATATTTGTCTCTGGATGTAGCCCTTCTATGAAGTTATGAGCTAACACTTCATTTATCTGGTTGTGATGAAGACAATCTCTAAGCAGCCCTTTGAACCACTCCCAAGCTGAATATAAAGATTCCCCCAATTTCTGTTTGAAGGAGATGATTTCACTTCTGATCTTTGCAGTTTTGCCTAAAGGGAAGAACCGTGCCAAAGATTTTCTTGCCAGATCATTACATGATGTAATAGAATTAGCTAGTTCCACCTTCAACCACCGCTTTTCTTCACCCAACAGAGAAAACGAGAATAGTGTGAGCCTCACATAGTCTGTAGTGACTCCATTAGTGATATAAGTATCACTAATCTCTAAGAAATTTAGAATGTGTTGTTGTGGATCCTCGTGTGGAAGACCCATAAACTGCCCATTTGCATGTAGTAACTGGATCATGCTCTATTTTAGCTCAAAGTGCCCAGTGATTCTGGGCTTCACAATGCTGGAGGTAACATTAGCAATGGTGGGCATCGCCACCTCCCGAACAACCTATGTTTCTTCTCTGCAATGTTCAAAGGTAATTGAACAAGTGCCTGAGCATTATCTGTGTCACTTGCTTCTCTCAACGTCCTATGAAATGTTCTCTCAGGTTCGGGGTCAAAGCCTTGAAGTCTGTCCTGGCTTCTGACCCTTGGCATTCAAATTAAAGTTCCTGAGAGCAGAGCAACCAATAAGAAACATTAGACTTGATGAAATAAACAACTAAAGTAAAAGCTAGTAAAATAGTCAATATTCAAGTCCCCGGCAACGGTGCCGAAAACTTGTTGCTCCCAAACGTACGTGCAAGTATACGTGATCGTACAAGTAATAAAGTGATAAATCAAGTGTCGAACCCACAAAGATTTGTGTTAACTACCCACTAGTTTCACCAAGATTGTTATTCGGTCGAGTCAATCAGAGTTCAAAAGTGTGATTATACTAAGAAATAATTCATAAGGCCCCATAAAAATTTCACCTAAAACCCGGAGTTTCCTGGTGCCAAGCTTGCTCACCGCGATACAAACATTTTGGGTTAAACATATCATTGGGAAGTTGAAGAAAACAATTATTGCAGAACATGACATTTTTGTGGTCTATTATGTGACCGCAGAACTGATCTGCGGACTACAGATCAGCCGCAGAGTGAAGCAGAGAAATGGGCCAATTTTGGAGGTTGTTTTGCAGTCATCTATGCAACTGCATAATCATTTTGCAGGTCGCACATCTATCATAGAACTAACATGAAGATTTTCGGAGGGAGATTCTGCGGTCCATTCTGCGGCCGCATAATTGATATGCGGGCCGTAGACTTGGCCACAGACTGAAACAGACCAGCCTAGCTTTTGGGACCTTTTATGCAGTCCCCTTTGCGTTCTACGACCGCAGACCCGGCTTCGTAGAGTTTAAGTTTGGAAACTTTCACCCGATCCCATTTTATAAACACAACTTGGTGTTTATTTTGGCTGGTTCTAACTGATATTTTAGAGAGAGGAAAGTGGTCTAGAGTGAGAGGGGGGATTCCTAAGATAATTGTTCATCAATCCTTTCTCAAGACTTGGAGAATTCATGGGGAAAACTCACAAGGTCTCCATTCAAGAGGTAAGGTTCCGTACTCTAGTCTTCAATTTCGAGCTTGGGGTAGAAGATGGGTGATGGGGAGTGGGATTCTTAGGTATGTGGGTGTTTTCTATGCATGCATGTACTAACAAAGTTGTGGGAAGGTTGTTGAGCTCAAAAGGGTTGATATTGGGTTGTAGGATGAAGGAATCCACCATAGGAGAACCTTGAAAACATAATGCACATCTAGTGCTTGATAAAATGTTTAAATGAACTGAACCTATGATTATCTTCCTAATTATGGTTCAATTTTATCATGTCTCTAAAAAGATCAAAGTTGCTAGGATTTATGGAACATTGTAGTAATTAAGGGAAAGCTCAAAGCGAGGTATGTTGGCTAAACCCCTCTTGTAGAATCGAATTCATGATGTCATCGTTAGTTGTAATTATGATTGGCTCAAGCTCTTATTTCTCATGTTACGAGTTATACCTTACTATTCCGAATAAACTGTGTCGAATGATATATGTTCAAAATGTGTTCCGAATGCTCTTATCATATTATGTTATCTTTCGGGGATGTGTTCAAAGCATGGGTTGTGTATCAAAATATTACGAATTCAATCATGTTTCAAATGCAAGTTATCATGTCAAATTGTGGAAGAAAAACTCAATGTGCTTAAAGACTCTTAATTGCTCATATGTGTACCTAAAGTTCTTGATTGAAAATGCCTTGTTGTTGATAATCCATGACGATGTTCGAAAAATGAAAAGGGTGAGCATGAAATATGAAATACGTCCAGCGTGCCAAGAATGATATTACATTTGTGGCCACCAGTGCCAATAAAATAAAAAGACGGGTAAAAGACTATGAAATTAGCTAAAAGTCCTTTATGTAATAAATATTTGGGAGTATCGTTAGTCACCGAGGAAAGGTAGGTTGAAATAACCTAACCTCGAAACTACCTGTGCCGGTGTAGGAGTGGATTGTGATTATTCCCCTTATTTGGAATGAGATTGATGTGATGAGATTATACCCCTTACATGGGATGCGATAGTTGCTAACAAAAAAGGGTGATGTCGATTTACACGGCACTGTGGTGAGACGGCCTAGCCGGTCGGGTCGAGATCAGACCCCATGCCGCACACATGGTGGTGATTCTGCTTGAGATTGTGATTTTGATAGTGATTGAGATTGTGATTGTGATGGTGATTGGATGTCTTTGGGTGAGGCGGCCTAGCCGATAGGGCCGTGATCATACTCTGTGCTAAAGATACGGTGGTATATCGGTAATAAAGATCTCCCAACCTGGGATAATGTAATTTACTTGAAATCTTATCTTGCTCCTAACTTGATGTCTTGGTAGTGTTCGAGGTTTCCATTGATTCTATGATTGTTCTTCCTTGTTTTATTACTCGTTCTATCGAGAGGGTGTTTATTCATTCATACTAGTACTATTCCATATGTACTAACGTCCCTTTTTGCCGGGGGCGCTGCATCTTTAATGGATACAGGTGGTTCCACAGCAGGCGACAGTGATTAGTGATAGTGATACACCCTCCTCCCAACTGACTTGGTGAGCCCCATTTCATTTTGGGGTCGTATATCTTTTGTCCCTTGTGTATTCTGTTTTGAGGTATAGCCGGGGCCTTGTTGTTGGCACTATCATAGTACTCTTTTGTATCTATTAGAGGCTCTGTTGACGTGGTGTAGGTTGTATATTGATGTTGGGAAAGTCAAACCAAAATGTTATATTTTGTATCACATGTTCCACTTCAAACTATGAAAGTGTATGTATTTTGAGAACTTATAAATAATGTAACTAATGGTAATGAATTGGTGTCGCTCACATGATCTTCTCCTGGTCTATTAATGAAATAGATCTTCCTTTTATTAATGGGTGAGTTCGGGTAGAAATTATTGTACAGGCTTGCTCGTCTTGGTTATCTCGGTTGAGCACCGATCGCGCTCCCCGAGGTTAGGGCGTGACAAACTTGGTATCAGAACCTAAGGTTTAAAAGTGTCCTAGGATGTCTCGGAGTCGTGTCTAGTAGAGTCCTTCTTATCGGTGTGTTGTCGACCACATCTATAATTGGGAGGCTACTTGGGCATTTAGGAATAAAACCCTTCTTTGATGTTCTTGATCATGCGATAAAGCTGATTATAAGACTGTCCCTCCTTTAACTCGTGCATTGCTCTAATTTTCAGTACATGGAACCTAGGAAGAAGGCAAGAGCTGGCCAAGGAGCCAATGCCACCCCAGGAGTGGCAGTTGATTCTATACCTGATGATATGGGTGAGCACCCGAGGGGTGATGATATTCCCCCAACTACTACACTGCCTGATTCTACTACTCCTGATCAGACTACACCAATCCCTACTCCTACTGAGGGTGTAACAATTTCTCCAGCTGATATTCCAGTTCCACCTCCATCCCCAACTCTAGTACTGGTGTTTCTAAGGGGGACCTTAGGGGGAGCCATATGGATGTTGGCTCAGATAGTGGCTTCCCAGGCCCAGAGATTGAATGTTGCACCTTCTTCTTCCACCCAGCCAGGGGATTTTGTTAGTCCCAGGGTGAACAAGCTTCTTCAGTTAGATCCTCCAGTGTTCACGGGTACTAATCCCGAGGAGGACACCCAGGACTTCATTGATGAGATGCACAAGACTCTCTGAGTTATGCGTGCTACTGAGATGGAAGTAGTGGAGTTGGCTTTGTACCGCCTGAAAGAGGTGGCATATTCTTGGTTTGAGCTGTGGGAGGAGTCCCATGAGGAGGGGAGCCCTCCGGCAAGGTGGAGTGAGTTTGCCGATGCCTTCATTGATCATTTCTTGCCTGCCGAGACAAAGGCAGCCCATGTTGTTGAGTTTGAGAGCTTGAGGCAAGGAAGCCTGAGTGTATGAGAGTATCATATGAGATTTGCACACCTGTCCAAGTATGTTATTTACATATTACCCACTATGGAGGCTAGAGTGCGCCGGTTCGTGCAGGGCCTCAGCCCCTTGGTTATTAATGAGGCTACTACAGCCGCCCTGAATTATAATATGAACTATGGGAAGATGGTGGCGTTTTCTCAAGCCACAAAGAACCGCAAATTGAAGAATAGAATTGAGCGAGAGGGTAATAATACGGCCCGGTCCGCGGGAAACTTTGGTGGTTCTTCTGGTGGTGGTGGTGGTAGGTCGGTATTTAGGGGAGGATCATCAGGGCCATCCTAGTCCTTTGCTTAGTTTTCAGTCAGTGCACAACCATCGAGGCCCAGTCAGTAGTAGTAGAGTTGTTTCAGGCTCGGTCAGGGCAACAAGGGATCCTACCAGCAGGGTCGGCCTGGTGGGAGATTCCAGCACCAGAGGAGGACCTCATGCCCTAGGTGTGGAAAGATGCACTTAGGGGTCTGCTACATGGACCTACCCATATGCTACAGGGGTAGGTTAAGGGGCCACATTCAGAGGGATTATTATTCACCCCGCCAGGGTATGGGCAGGAGCACGGCACAACCATCAAGTTCTGTAGCTACTACATCCCCAACACCTCCTCTAGCTTGAGGCACTCCAGCACCCGCAGGGGGGGGTGAAACCACGGGTAGTACATAGTGTTCGGGAGGACCCAACCATTTCTATGCCATGAGGGGTTGCCAGAGTTCCAAGGCTTCTCCGGATATTGTCACAGGTATATTGACTGTCCAATATCGTGATGTATATGCTCTTATTAATCCTGGTTCCACTTTGTCCTATGTCACTCCTTATCTTGCTATGGAATTTGGGATAGAACCGGAACAACTTCATGAGTTGTTCTCTGTATCTACTCCGGTTGGTGAGTCTATTGTGGACTAGCCGATCGGGCCATGATCGAACTCCGTGC